TGTGTGCTAAGTTTCGTGAAAATCGGTTCAGATTTAGATATAGCTCCCATATATAGCTTTAAGGTAAACGGGGCACCAAAGTCCCTATATATCTATTTGCACGAAATTTGGCATAGGGTACTGATTTAGGTCCGGAATGATGTGTGCTAAGTTTCGTGGAAATCGGTTCAGATTTAGATATAGTTCCCATATATATTTTCGCCCGATTTAAGGTATATGGTGTAGCAAAGACCCTATATATCTTTCGATTTGCACGAAATTTGGCATAGCGTACTGAACTAAATCTAGAATGACGTGTGCTAAATTTCGTGAAAATCGATTCAGATTTAGATATAGCTCCCATATATAGTTCGCCCGATTGAAGGTAAATGGTATGCCAAAGTCCCTATATATCTTCCGATTTGCACGAAATTTGGCATATCATACTGAATTGCGCCTAGAATGATGTGTGTGAAAGTTCTTGATAATCGGTTCGGATTTGGATATAGATCCCATATATATTTTCGACCGATTTAATGCAAATGGTTCACCAAAGTCCCTAGTCCCTAGGCATAGCGTACTGAATTGAGTCTTGAATGATGCGTCTAAAAGTTCTTGAAAATCGGTTCAGATTTGGATATAGATCCCATATGTATTTTCGACCGATTTAATGTAAATGGTTCACCAAAGTCCTTATATATCCTTCGATTTCCATGAAATTTGCCATAACGTATTTAATTAAGCCTAGATTGATGTGTGTAAAATTTGTTGAAAATCGGTTCAGATTTAGATATGGCTCTCATATATATCTCGTCCGATTTTAAGTAGGACCCAAAATATGCAGCCTTATTCTGGATATTTGCTAGGGAGATATCTCGCATATAAAAAATTTTCGCTTTCACATTCTCGCCTTATTCTGAATGAATAGGGAGATGCAAAAAATGCGAGATGCGGATTCGAGTTTTCGAAAATGGTGGTTGAAAAAAATATTCGTGTTGCCATATCGTAAATTGAGGTGCAATGTGTGTTGCCCCATTGTAATTTAATTGTGTAACATTTTTCAATATATTATTTATTGATTTTTGTTATTAAAAATTGTTACTTTTTACTGTTATTTAAACTATATAGCAATACAAATGTGAAATATCAAGAATCCGCTGTATAAATACTTTGTAATTAAAAGAAAATAAATTAAAGTTTGAAAATATGGCAACCTACAATATGGCATGTGAAACAGCTGTTCATTGTTTTGATGCAATTTGGTGCAACAACTACATTAGATTACAAATAAAAGAACATTTTTTATGATGGCAAAAACACAACGATTTAATTAATTAATTCACAGTTTATTATTTCACTACATAATTGTGTGCCATTTTATTTAATTCCGATATTTTATCTCCACAAATTCTTAAAGTGGCCTGTTATGTTATGATTTGCTTTTGAAAAATTTTTTTTTGTTCTTTCATAATTTTTATTTAAGTTTTTCACTGTTAAGCGGCTCATAAGGCAAATTTGGGTTTTCCATAATTTTTAAAATTGTTTTCTTGAGAGACAGATCCTCACCCAAAATGTCTGTATTTCGCCTCCAAAAATTAAACTCGACTTAAATATTCCTTATTACCTTCATACATTTCTTGGCAATACTTGGTTCAGCATGCATCGTTATCAATAGGATTTCCAATAGCATTTTATTGGTTGTTTTCCAGTTAAAAATTTGCTTATTATCATTTATAATATTCTAAATCGTCATAGAATAAGTATTGTGTAAATATTTTTCATAAAAATAGTTATTCGCCCATGTGCTGCATTTCGAGTTTGCTCGAATGTGAAAAATTTTCCCAAATTTGGTGTGCTCCATTCCGAATTCCCAAAAAAATATTGGGAATATAATTCGAGCACATATAGCCTTGTGGATTGAAAACGAAATGAGATCGCACGTACAAGTTGAAAAAGAACGCTGAAGTAATATTTAACGTGTTTTTACAATATTTATTTAAAAAATACAGTATTTACATTAGTTTTTATAGTAAAATAAAAGAAAATAAAAAGGGCTCCTTTTATCAAAAACAGCGCGTAACATTTTTGAGATCAATTTGGCAACTCAACCACCATATGATCAAAATAAAAATAGAATCTATAAAAAATCTATTTTTAAGATTTCCAATAGTCCTTTTAATAATGTTTCTTGCAAATGTGTGCACTTTATTATATCGATGTTGACAAGATCCATGCTCCACTTGTTTATAGTGCGTCAAAAAATGTTTCTAAAGCGTAACCACTGTCTCCTAGAAGCCAACTATTTTGCATACCATTTCCTCTTTTGTTAATGCTGCCTAGCTGCACTCATATGCCAAATAAAAGCATCATGGCTGGATCCTGGTCTGCAGCTGTCCACAGCTTGCACACACTTTGTCTTCCAGGACTTTCATTACTCTCCACAATATTTTACACATTGTTGTGCGATCAACACTTATATTTTAATCATTTACCACTACCCTCAGAAACCCACCAACAGCCAGAAATCTAAAGGTACCTGCTAACTGGAGGCTTTCGGGAATGGCCCCCTTGTGTATGAAAGGATCCACTTCTCTCAAAATATCCATAAATGCTTATTTTAACACGTTCCAGTATCATTAGACTTTTTCTGGTAGAAACCAGGGCAATTAATAAGCCAACAGGCATATTTTTTCTTAATTTTGTTGGTAAACAAATTGCAAATTCCAATGAAACATATGTTTTTTATTGAACACATTTCATAACATATTGAACACAGCTATGCTTTCGAGCCGCACTTTCGCTCGAAATTGAGCACACCATTTTGAACAACATGGGAATTTAAAAAAAGTATGGGAATTCAAAAACTCTCGGAACATGTCACATGGGCGATTACTTATGTTTAAATTTATACTTACTCCCTTTAAATTTATTAGCGAAAAATTTCGCACAAAATTTCCTACTCCCTGTAATTCAGAATACCTAATTTTTCCCCAAAGCGGATTTTGTCGCTTTCGAACTTCATTCAGAATAAGGCGAAAGCGAGAATGCGAAAAATTCACAGGGAAATGTTGTTCAGAATAAGGCGAAGGGAAAGAGCGAGTAAATTCACATGGAATTGACATTAGGAACATTAGGTCATTAGGAACAAAACCTGCTGAAATTAGTACAACCTAACCTTTGACAATATTTGGATATAGCTTCCATATCTATTTTCATCCGATTTTAAGTAAATGGTGCACCAAACTCCTCATGTTTGTAATATTGACATGAAATTGAGCATTTTGATATTTTTGATGTTTGCTTTAAATCGATTTAGATAATTTTGTCCTATTGTAAAAAACGAATGACATGTTTATGGATTGATTTTAGTCGGTTCACATTTAGATATAGGTCACATATTTTAGTTCATCCAATTTCATGTTAATGGCCCTTCTGTTAGGATGCATTCGTTAAATATACCCATAGTGGTGAAGGGTATCATATAGTCGGCCCCGTCCGACTTTACTACTTTCCTTACTGGTTTGTGATATTGTTGTTGTTCAGCAGCAATTTAAGTTTCCCTTTTGAATATAAAGTAAAAAAAAATCACACAAAGCCTAAAAACAAATTAAACACTTGTTAATTTTCATTTCATAAAAATTGTTTTTATTTATTTATTAAATACATATTTTTTGTTTGTTTTTTGAATTTACTCTCACATAGTATATGTTGATGATGATGACGTTGATGGTTGTTGGTATTTTCTGTGTGTTACACATTTCGTTTTGTTACATTTAGTAATTGCTCTATATTTGCCGTTTGTTGTTTTATTTTTATTTATATATATTTTTTATATTTTGAATGTACGCAGGTATATAAGATTTATAAATTAAAATACATATTTCTTTTTCTTTCTTACAGAAGATATTTTTTGTTTGTTGTTTAATTGTTTATTGACTAAATGTCTTTTATTTTCATTTCTTTTTTTCTTTCTTTATAAATGTCATTAGTTTTCTTATAATAAAAATATTAAATGTTGTTGTTGTTGTTCTTCGTTTATTGATCATCATATATATAGAAGTGTATATATGCATATTAATTTAATGGGGAGGAGATAGTATTTTTCCTTGATTCATTTTTTCTTTGTTAATGACACATGATTGTGAAAGGGCAGATATAAGGTTGTTGTTGTTCTTTTTTAAGTTTGTTTTGTAGCATAATTGATGTGTATGTAAATATAGAATTATTTATTTACAGCCAAATAGGAGAATATTGTTTGGTTATTAAAAAAATAATAAAATTGTGTACAATTTCGTTTTTAAATATTGGGAAAATATATTTTAATAAAAACCATTATAAAATACAGAATAAAATAAATTACAAAAACAAATTAATGGCATCAAATAATTGTGTTTGTTTTTTCTTTTGCAATGATTTCTATTTAAAACAATAATATAAAACGGAAATATGTTAAAAAATAATACGCTTTTCTAAAAAAAGAAAGTCAACAAACAAGCCAAAAAACAAAAGAAATAGAAACAAAATCTTGATTATGGTTTTGTAAATATTTTTAAACAATGTCTTTTTCTTTAAGTTGTTATTGATGTTTTTTTTTATTGTATGAAATACATAATATAACTTTTTATTTGCTTTCATCGGATAGCAAAACTGGATGACTAAATGACTTATGTTCTTTCATTATTTTTTACCGGGATTGTTATATGCCATGTTTGTTGTTCTTAGTTGATGTAAAGCTTGCTAGCAATTTACTGTTTGTTCTTGTTTCATCTTTGCTTGGATATACAGTGAGTTTCAACTGTCAGCGTAGTTCTTCTAAGTGACAGATAACAAGATAGGGAGTAGAAAAAGGAAATAAATTGAGTTTCGAGGATGTTACATCCTGCCATGACTTGCTGTGCTACGACGTTTGCATGATTTGTTCTTTTTTTCTTTTTTATTATTATTATTGTATAAAATTACATTAGCGCGTAAGTTTTACAAATCATTTTGTTTTTGGAAAACATTAGAGCTGTAGAGAAGAGAAGATAACAACAAAACTAAAATGACTACGCCAATAAGCTCATTAGTCTATTTGCATAAGCCATGGGTTTAACATCGGGGTGAGGCTGTAATTAAAAAAATAAAAGATATTTTTATATAACATTATACATACAGGGATAGAGATTCAAAGTGCTATGGAAAAATCTTTTTAGTCGATCGATTGAATAATGAAATATATTGATGACCTACAAAACAAAAATCTTTTTCATGAAAAACAGAAATGTCTTCTTATAGAAGAAGAAACTGTTTTTCTTATAGAATAAAAAACAGGTCTTCTTATAGAAGAGCAAACAAGTCTTCTTACAGAAGAACAAACAGGACTTCTTTTAGAATAAAAACAGGTCTTCATTTAGAAGGTTAGGTATGGTTTAAAGGAATATTCCTACAAAATTTGAAGTGAAAATCTCAAGAACTCTTGAAGATATAGCCGATTTATTGTGTCAGCATCAAGTGACGGCAAGAGTGATTCTCAAACTTAAAACGCATTTTTCTCGAAGCAGTGGTTTACGAATGGCGGGCACGATAACTCAAAAACTAATAATCCAATTGGTTCCAAATTTTGACCCATTTCTCTGGGAGTGTATAGCTCTCGTATGAACTAGGATAAAGCCAATCGGTGAATATCTTCCTTATTTTTTAACATAGTTTATGGTCAAAAATAAGTGATTTTCAAAAAAAAAAAATCCGCCATTTTGTTAATTGTTGTGCGAAGTTCCCTTAATATTTTCCATTCCTACCTCCTCATGTAATTACTTACGAATTGGATTCGAAGGGTTGCAAAACCTGGGTAGTGACATAGGAAATGTTCTAACTGGTCTTATATTTGGGCCTACTTATAGTCACTACACCACCCTGGTTTCAATACTGTGGTTTGTCGAGGTAGCTACTGCGCTTCTGCTGCTATCGGTGACGGGTTTTCTCTGATAATTTTATTCATTCTGTATTATCGAACTGCCTCCTCAACTGCATCAGTGTGAATGCAGATTAATCCTGTTTCATAGGTCTGTTTCTGTAAATGATCTCTTTTGTACCTCTTCTCCAGATCATAATTATTTATTTATAATATATTTTATAAATAAATTTATAAAATATATATGAAGGCGCCGGGTAACAAAGACCATATGCGCACAATATTATAGATCATAATTATGTTTTTAATTGAGTTTTGTTGTACATTGCTGCCCACCCTACTGCAGAAGCCTATGTGAGAATTGGTCATTCGACGCTCCAGTGTATCAGTTTTTGATTAGTGACCTTTTCGCCCCGTTGTTGGCTGTGGTCCATCCTATAAAGGATACTTAATTACTTAACTGGCCAATTTTAAAGACTAGGTTCAGAGATGTTGTCTTCTACATCATCTTTCTAACTGTCGGCACGCTTTTATATGACTTTTGAGCTGGGGCATCCTCATCCATAGTCAACGTATTCGCTGCAGCTCGATACGTCGGCCTATATCGATTTCCGAGAATAGATTCTACGCAGATCGGCCCATAGATCTTTCGAATAATTTTTCTATCAAACACTCTAAGAACCGCCTCACATGCTTGCCAAGTACCCATGCTTCAGATCTATATAACAGCACGGGTAGTATCAGCGTCTTGTAGGGAGTGAATTTGGTCTGGCGAGAGGTAGCCTTGTTCTTAAATTGCTTATTTAGACCATAGTAGCATCTGTTGGCCAACACCATCCTTCTCCGAAATTCAAAAATGTTGTCATCAGTTTAATTTATAGCGGTACCTCGAAGCTGTAGTATTCAAGTTCCATAGTTGGTCCCAGTATACTGGACGCCTTGCGCGTTGATACCATCAGCTTGGTCTTACCGCATGGGTCTGGCAGTACCACTTTGCCTGACTCCTTGTCAATTTGTTCATAGGTGGCTGTTATCGCTCGCAATGTTCGACCCATTATGTCAAAATGCCATTTCTGTTCACCTTTGCCTCTCGTATGACCTTTGTCGTATCACACGACAAACACCTTGTCTAAATCCTCGTTCGGTATTAAAGGGCTTCGAGAGGTCGCTTCCGACTTTAACTGCTTACCTTCCTTGTGCCATTTAGTTATCCGGCACAGCCGTATTTATTTTGCAGGAATGTCGAACGCAGACATGGCTTTAAACACCTCTGAACGGATAGGGCTGTCGAATGCGGCTTTACAGTCGACAAATTGATATGTGTCGATGTGTTTTTCGCGTTTTTTTCAGGATTTGGCGCAGTGTGAAAATCTGGTCAATGGTGGATTTGACAAACCTGAAGCCGCATTAACCAGTATTGGAAATGGGTATAACTTTGCTTTTAGAGGTTAACTCTTCATACTGCACTATTTTTGTCTATCTTGTGAAAGGAGCTACATATCTCGGTTTCGTATGGGTTGACATTAAAACAATTCCACCTTGCAAATATTTAATGCTGATTCAACATTCCTATATTGTTTAGATTCCTTCCGCAAGTATAAAAAAGTCGTCCCAGATGTTTCAGTCGTGTAGGCTGCAACTTATCATCCAGTCCCAAGCTAATTACTGTAGTCGAATGAAGTTTAATGTTTGATAATGCCGACTTTTTTTTTCGATGTCGATGCATTTTCGATTTTGAAGGAGCTTTTAAGATGGTGAGATACCTCATATAGATTTTACACTGATGTTATCATTTCGACAAGACTTTGTTTTTATGGGTGTGATGATTAATCATTAAAATATATTGCATTGTTGCATGGACGTAAAGGAAGACATTTCGTCTCCTTTACAATTTTAAATTTTAAAGTAGCATTCTGACAACTTTGGACCTCAGACTGACTGAATCGCTTTATAAAGCGTCTAGATAAAATGTTGAACAACAAATTTATATAATATTCTACTTACCACAGATTTGAATGATGTAAATTTGGGCGTTAGATCATTGCCCTTAATTGTAATAAAAGCACCCATATTACCCATGGTATCGCTGTAATATAAAACAAAAATGAAGAAAAAAAGAAAACAAATTATTTTCCATTTATATATGTAACTATTAATAAAATTCGTTTCTCACCAATAATTGGGTGCTGAAAATACCGTTATACATTTGCCATCATGCGTCACCTCATAACCCATATTTTTCACTTCATGTGATCGTACAATATAATCTAGATTATTGCGTTTGCAGAAAGCCTCTGTTACATCCGGGCCAAATTGTATACCAACACCACGTTTTGATGGTCCTCTACCAGCCCATGGTTGGGGATCCGACCATAATAATTCACACATTAGACCATCCTCCGGTGGTTGACAATTACGATCGATGCGTCGCAAATCTTCCAATGAGACATCATCACTTGAGAAGAGACCACCGTGCATGACGAGGATTTTCTTATTAATACAATGACACAATGGCAGCCAATTAAATGCTTGGGTAAACATATCAGCCATGGTGCTGGTATATTTGGCTGTGACCTCACCAGTGAAGCCATACATTTGATTCATGTTTATACTTTCATGATTGCCTGAAAAAAATACGATTTGATTTGTTAAAAAGACAAATCAAATATTTATTTGGTATTAAAAAGTTCTTACCTCTTGACAGATAAAAGTGATTGGGATATAATAATTTAAAGCCAAACAATGTAAATATACATTCCACGGAAAATGAGCCTCTGTCCACAAAATCACCATTAAACAAATACGGATTCGTTTCCGATGGTAGACCATTAATTTCAAAGATATTCATAAGATCATAAAATTGACCATGAATATCACCACAAATTGTGAATTTCGAATCTCCGGGTACAGTAATATCCACCATAGAATCTTGGGTACGCATGTAAGCATCAATATCGCAGAGAATCTGAAAATAAAACAAAACATAGAAAAAAAAAACACATTCAGGGATACGATATTTATTCAAAAATTTTATGAAAAAAGGGAACTGAAATACTACAGAATTAAAAAAAGCAAATCCTAATGTAGATCAGAACTTTGAAATGTGATGGAAAATAACATTCCATATATTTAGATTACCGGCTTGGTATATGCACACGATTGTCGGCACACACTTACTCACCTTATAGGCAAATTTACGATGTAATTTCTTTTGCTGTTTATAATTTTCCATTAAGTCTAACATAAATTGTAAAGTAACTTTTCCATCGATGAGCATAGGTCCCGTATAATCTTCCTCAATTGCTGTAGAAATAAAAAATAAATATTTCAAATATTTTTTCTTTTTGATAACAAAAAAAAATGCACTTACCAATATTTTCAAAATCTCTAAACATTTCGGTTAATGTTTTCTCTGGCTTATCAACAGCTATGGCCCGTTCAAATGCACGCATTTTAACAATTTTATTACATTCGGTAAACTTTAATTTGGCATCTTTATCATTGGGACGGCATTTCGATACCTATGAATGAATGATTCTCGATCATAACAATAATAATAAAAATGATGTGGCAAAAATGTAAAGGAAGTGTCTCCTATGGTACGTAGTATGTATGAAGACATCGCTATACTCACATATTCATAATCAGAAAGCGCTTGTTTAAATTTACCCAAAGACATGTGAGCCGCGGCTCTGCGATAATAGCCTTTAAGATATGTTGGATCAGCTTTAACAGCTGAAATGCCATCTTGTAAAGCAAATCCAAAACTTTCCTGCCTTAAGTGGGCCAATGAACGATTGGCATAGTAAATAGCATTATTGGGGTTTAATTCTATGGCTTTGGTGTACATTTCAATAGCTTTCGAAAAATCCTTTTCTATAAAAAAATATAAAAAATAAAAACAAAATAAAATTATTAAAAAATACGGGTAGGAGGATTTTCTGGATAAATGTTTTTTTTTAATATATCAATACAAGAAACAAAAAACGCACAAAGATATTAAGAGATGATCCTAGAATGATTTGGGTGCCTAAATATATTTTTCGTCTTTAAACATATTTTGATCTCTATGCTTCATGCTTGTAGAATACTAAAGGTAAGGTAAGATGAGAAAACTTTTATCCAAAATGGAAAATATACGGAGGGAACGGTGATTATATCTGAAAACCAGAAAAACATCTCAGGTTGTCTTCAACACGATCATCTCTGAACGGATTTTGGAATATTACTTTTCTGTGCGTAGGGGATGATAGATATCAAGCAACGGCTCTGATTGACTTTAACATGGCAAAGCCCAGGCTTATCTTAGCCTCTCTTATATCTCAATTGTGGATAATGACCTCCTCGAGGTGTCACCTAGGGTAGGTTGAGGCGTAGGTATAGTCGCGCACACTCGAAAAACCCCACCTACTATGAAACAGAAACCAAAAGCGATGGAAAGGGACTAGCGTAAGTAAATCAGATGATTACACCCTGTATTATAGCTGCCATGAAACGATACATGAATTTGGCTGCGGATTTATGGTTAACTGGAGAATAAAAGACCTCCAGTAGATGAGGAAAGTTCTTCTACATCAGTCTTATTTGTTTCCATGCTCCGACTGAAAACAAAGATGAAAAGACCAATGAATTATTTTACGAGCGCCTAGAAACAACATATTACCGCTGCCCTGGCCATGACATTGACATATTGCTAGGAGATTTTAATGCAAAAAATCGGAAGGGAAAATATTTTTGACCCACCGTCGAAAAATTCAGCCTCCATGAAGAAACAACCGGCAACGGTATGATGTTGATTGACTTCGCGGCAGCAAAAAACATAGCAGTTAGCAACACCAGATTCAAGCATTTCGATTTACACAAGGCCACCTGGATTTCTCCTGATAAAGCAACGAGGAATCAAATTGATCATGTTGTGATAGACGGAAAGCATTCATCCAGTGTTTTAGACGTTCGATCGATCCGAGGAGCGAATATCGATTCGGATCATTACCTTGTATCAGCCAAGATTCGCAAACTCGACGTGGAAAATATACAAACACAACAGGTAGCAGAAGTCTACTCCGCTTAACTTACTCACCTGCTTGACAAAATCACTCATTGTCCCGATAATAATATAGAAGCACAATGGTAAAGTATTCAAAGCAACCCATGGATAGGAGAAATGTATTTTCAGAAAAAAGAGCAAGAAAAATGTGAGCCTGAACAAATCGAGATGTACAGGAGTCAGAACATCCTCCTGTAGGGATGAAAAAGGAAACTTGGCGACAGATACAGAGAGCATGTTGAGGACCTGGAAGGAGCATTTTGCAAAGCTTTTGGCATCAAATAGTAACGTGGCTAAAGATACCCCAAAACCAAATAGAGATGACGGTATATATTGTATATCACCTAGCCAAGATGAGGTCAGAATAGCAATTAGTAGGCTGAAGAATAAAAAAGCAGCAGGTGCCGATGGACTGCCAGCCATACTGGTGGTCAGGAGCATGCACAAGTTGATTAATAAAATTTGGCTAGAGGAACCCATACCCAATGATAGCATCCTGTGTCCCGTGCACAAAAAAGGAGAGAAGGCGATATGCCCCAACCATAGAGGAATAAGTCTCCTGCCCATCGCATATAAAGTGTATCCAGCGTGCTGTGTGAACGACTGAAGCCATTGTACCATACCAATGCGGCTTCAGGCCTGGCAAATCCACTATTGGCCAGATATTCACTCTTCGCCAAATCCTAGAAAAAGACCCACGAAAAACACATCGAGACACATTCCACCTATTCGTCGACTATAAAGCCGCATTCGACAGCCCTATCCGTTCAGAGGTGTTTAAAGCCATGTCTACGTTTGGCATTCCTGCAAAATTAATACGGCTATGCAGGATAACTTTAATTGGCACAAGGTTAGCAGTTAAAATTGGAAAGGACCTCTCGGAGCCCTTTAATACCGAACGAGGATTTACACAAGGTAACAGTTTGTCGTGTGATCTCTTTAACATCCTGGTGGAAAAGGTCATATGAGATGCAAAGGTGAACAGAAATAATAATCTGTACACCAAAACAACACATGCTACTCGCCTACGTAGATGACTTCGACAGAATGGGTCGAACATTGAGAGCAATAACTGCAACTTTTAAACAAATTGAGCAGTCTGCCATAGTGGGTCTGGTAGTAAATGGCGAGAAGACCAATCAGATGGTATCAACGCGCAAGACGTCCAATAGACTCGGACCAACAGTGTAACTAGAGAACTACAGCTTCGATGTAGTCAAAGACTTGATATACGTTGGTACCGCCATAAATAAAATTCGAAGGAGAATATTGTTGGCCAACAGATGCCACAATGGTCTAAGTAAGGAATTCAAAAACAAGGTAGGTCAGACCAAACTCACCATATATTTTCGGAGTCAACATAGTCAGACGTATCGAGCTGCAGCAACTACGTCGGCTAGGTCATGTTGTGAGAATGGATGAGGATGCCCCCAGCTCAAAAGGCATATAAAAGTGATCCAAGAGATGATTCACGCAGAAGGGGAAGGCCAAGAATTCTATTGAAAGATGAAGAGGAAGACAATATTTCCGAACACGGCCTTTTGAATTGGAAGAGCTGCGCACCAGACCGACGCGCTTGGAAACCTTTCTTAAGCTTGGCTTATGGAACAAATGTTCTGTCACAAGGCACCCTCCATGAACACAAAATGCCTAATTTATAGTCCATTCGGTTGCAAAATGCGGCTTCAAAATATGGCAAATGGGACGGTATCGTTATATGAGGACTATACCAAAACCAAGACGAATATATCACATTTTCTATACCAAATATCCTAGGATTGGTAGCAACATATGCGCTAAATTTCAAAGCTAAATCGACCTAAATAAAATTCAAATAAATAAAAAAGTCATCTTTTTTATAATCTTCGGTTAAATAAAGCATTCTTTACTTTTTTGTTTATCCCTAACATATTTAAAAAAAATCGATTTAAATGTGAAAACTAATTATTAAAAATACTATTAGTTTCCATAACTTCAAGCTCGACTTCAAGGACATTTTTTTCTTTAAATTTCTTATATATTTTTTCCTGTAAATAAACTTGAAATTTGTATCACTTTGGTAACCACAAAAGTGATAGATAGTTCAAGTTTCAACACTTAAGTTTAGGAAAATCTTTTGGAATGGCAATCAAGCATTTTGTTACAAATCTTGAGGCAATCTATCGGAAATAAATAAGTTCAGGGACTTTTAGCGTTACGGACAATAAATATGCAATAATAGCGTTCTTTTTATTGGGAAATTTGATTAATAAAAATATAAGTTATTTTGGAAATACAGTAAAAACTCGCTAATCCGGATAATTGATTGCAGACCCCAATCCGGATTACCGAGATTTCCGGATTATCGAGTTTTATTAATTGGTTTAAATTTATATTAATTTGGTGATAATTTAATTATTTTTATGCTTTTATTAAAAATGAAAATTATTCATTTCAAAAATATGAACTTTGAATATAATAGGTAACATTTTCAATTAAATTTGCAACGATTTTTTTATTAAAATAAAAAGTAACGTATCTTTACAATCCGGATTTTTGAGTCAAATAGGTCAATCAATCCGGATTATAGGATACGCAATGGGTTGTGAAATGGAGTCCGGATTACCGAATAATCCGGATTGTCGAGGTTCGGATTATCAAGTTTATACTGTATGTGAAAAATGGCAACCTCATGTAGAAATAAAAAAAAAAAAATATTTGCAAAACATGAAAAGTATTATGAAATGAAAAATATGGTAAAATTGGTTAGTAATATGTTTAATATTTATATATCGTATACAAAAATATTTAAGCCTTGAAAAACATATTAAAACAATAATTTAAATAATTATTTGCTCCATTATGTTGGAAAGCGAATCATTTTTTATTCCTCAAGTACATATGTCATAAAAAAAGAAATACCATTTTATAACAGTTTCTCCTTCGGCATAAGAAGCTCTAATATTCTTTGCTATTTAAATTTTCAATTCTTGAAATGTATATGACTACATCTATAGGGTTTCGCCTCTGATGGAAACATCGTCAACAACCTAAAAAGAATACAACTCAAAAATTAATTTAAGCCCGGCAGGGATTGGAAAACTGGTTCCTGTGGTATCTCTCAAATATTATCCGGCTAGTTAGCGTTCACAGCCACCTCCTAAACTTCCGAAGGTTGCACAATATAAATATATATATAAAATCTGTCACTACAGTAAAAAATCTGCTCTGAGAAGGGTGTGTTCTGGTGTGATGGCAAATTTCGAACCTTTATACTTTTAAATATAATTCACAGTTGCAATTTCGAAACAAATTCGATATAAATCGGCCTTTAAGGTTTCAAATTGAATTTTTAATGAATAAATATATACAACATATCAAATAACGACCTTTGTAAGTCACATTGTCCTCAATATGTCTGATGAGCCACATAACAAACCGCAAAACGAGTCGCAAAACAAATGTTTGGAAAACAAAATATATCGAATTTTAGTAAACTTTTATTTTTTTGTTTGCAAATGTGGATAGTCAAAAATTGTTATGGAAATTATTTTACTATATTATTTGGAAGTGTTAGAGAAAATTAGTCGGACAGTTCAGTCGGAAAATACAGCAAGAATTTTCAATATTCAAAAAAGTCATTTGATTTGAATGCTGTTACTCCTGTAATAATAATGTATGTGTACAATTTCAACGAAATTAAAAAGACAGATTAGTTGAATATACTGGTACGACGAAATTAAAACACTCAACACATTAAGGGAATAAACTATTTAACAACATTATTTTGAGATTTATTCTGTTCAATATAAAAATGTAATTGATAATGTTGTGATGACTTCAAATTTATCAGCTTTGGATTTGAAATTTCATAATATTGAAATTAGTTCAATAGTGAGATTTTTTCATTTCATCTATTGAAAATAAATCTTTATTCGGACAATTATTATTTTGGATTATAGTACACCTAGAAACAGAAGCAATTTCTGAGAAGTTGAGAGCATTAGAGAATTCTTTGTGATTTCTACCACAGTTACTGAAAAATGATTTGATCCGTGTCCAAGCATTTGACAACTATAACACTGGATATGTCTTTCTTTATTGGGTTTCTGGTATTCCCATCGGATTTTAATACAATTTATTGAATCATAGTTCTGACGAAGATTCTTAAGTGTTATTATTTTCCGTTGGAAATAAACAACATATATGATGTGTTCCAGGGGTACCTACTTCGCCCTTCTAACTACTAGTTTAACATCAGTACATTTTAATCGCATTTCAGTTAAATTTTTTTCACTGTGTTTGGATCCATTTTATTAAAAAATATTCCAAATTAAAAATTTGTATAGAGTGCATGACAAACCGAATTCATATCTTTTTTCCTATTTAGAAACAGTTTTATCCCTAAAGTTCCACTTAGACCCTTGTATTTTCTCATGTACTAAATCAGCTTAAATCGGTCTTCGTCCGGGAATTCAACATATTCTACACATACAGACAGTTGCCAACACCGGCAATAAGACAGAACCTCATTTTTAAATTAATAACTATGTGCTTCTTCTTTAGACATAATCTAACACCGGCTACGACACATATCCTCCATTTAAATTGAATACTATTACCTCCACCTGTTCATAACAAATTTTGCACCTAGACAATATAAATGAAATCCGTTTCAAACAATTTGGAGTAGGTATGGACCTACACTAAATCCGAGATGAGGTCTCCTAGTACCTCCGTACATTACATTACATAAAGCTAATGGTGAATCCTGCGTCGTCTAAATACTTTTGAGCAGGCCTTGCAAACATTATTTATTTGTGTATTTCATTCTTTAATACTAAAGCCTACAAGGACAATAAATAGTATTAACAAAACATATCATATTAAGTAGAAAAGTTTAATTAATTGCTAATTATAATAAATGGCTTCCCAACCAAAATAACTATTAAAAAACCATGGGGAGATGAGAAAACGTCGTTATCATGCACCGAAGGGGAAAACGGACGACATTAAGAACAAAACACAATCAGAAACATTTAGAAATATCAGCAAATATCCCATCAACTCCGATAGATTTTGACTTAATTCTATGAATAGCAAGCACAACATTAGTTATATATCCAGACACAATTGTATAATTTTCTTCGCATAACATTCTAATTGGAATTTATGTTATTTCAAATTGGAATGTTATGTGAGGTATATTACATTCCATTTGTTTGCTTTTATTAACTTATTTTAGTAAATAACACAACTAGACCTGTGGTAAATATTCCTACCATTGAGAATAATAATAAACAATATTCCAACCATTCCAAATATGCAAAAAGATTTTGTATTCGGATTACAACTGATATAACACTTAGTTACTTTTTCCCTTCTTATCAGATTTGCAATTTTGCGTTGTCAGATTTTTTTATGTAAACATTTTGACCATTTATATTGGAATCAGCTGGTCAACAATATATGCTCCGCACAATATAACAGTAGGCACGTGCTTTTGGAATAATTAACTAAGGCACAAATATTTTGTGTTTTCTTACACAATATCCAATTATTTTTCTAAAATAGAACTTGTTGTTTCAACAACAACAAAAATAAAAATGCGTCTTGTAATATTTTCACTCATTAGCAATTAATTAATCGGTCGTGTCCGATCACATACCAACAACACTCACTCACCCTTAAGATAATCATTTCCCTGATTTTTGTAATGGTCTGCTAAAGCATTTATATCATCCTGAGCAGCTTCTTTAGCACCCTCTGATGGGGGTAATGTGGCGACAGGTGCATTTGGTTTGGCCTGTGGCGCATTGCTCGAACCACATGCTTTCTGGTCCTCATTGTTGTTTTGTTCCTGCATTATTTCCACAGCTGACATTCTTTTTGTTTTCTTTTTTTACTTATTCCCGAACTTCTTTGATTCTTAAATATTCTTTTTTACTTTGTATATTGAAGAAAATCTCACTCCCTTTGTTGAATTGAACAAAAATTCGTTGTTGTATTTAAGTAGAAAATTTGCACTATGCAAATTTTGTTACGATTGCTTTTTAGTTTCAGTGCGGCCGCCGTTGTTTTTGTATTCGGTTTTAGTTCTAGTCCTACACCACCACCATAACTATTGACTTTTTTCCATGAACAAGAAGTACAAACGTTCTTTCCGATTCAACGACGAACGATTCTGCTGTCACTGTTCTGTTTGCTTGCCTGCTTTTGCTTCTGGGGGGAAGAGACGTCGTTTTGCAACACTGTTACATGTGAGAGAATTATGAAAGAAGAGAATATTAAATTGTAAGTCCAACAATTGTTCCGATTAATTATAGGCCAGCTTACCACTTAGTATTATTTTTTTCTTACAAGATTTTAGGAAAAAACTGCCCTGTACGGTTAGAATTTTTTCAAAAGGAAAAAATAATCGAGCAAAATGACGTGCTTAGGGATAAGTTAGTCGACTATCGACTATTTGCAAAAAACCGAAATGTCAAAATAGATTTGTAGGTTGAGGGAAAATCGATTTACTTGTATGGACATGAGGTGGGTTCGTTTATATTTTTATTCAATAACATGGCGTTTATAAATGACATTTTTGTGCAGACCATATCGCAGATACACACCATTTTCACCAACACATTTAAAATTTCGTCAAATGTTTAAAGCTTTTTCCATTTTTTTTATTAACTATAAACAATTTATGACATTTACAATTAATAATTATTTCTAGTTCTTCCTCATATTCACTTAAACAGCAATAATCCAATTAATTAATATCCCATTTCAAAGTGATTGATCTAATCCTGCGGTAACCTGACGTGAAAAAGGACCAGATTTTTTTTAAATCCTGCATCCAAGTTCCTCTGACCATATGTTGCTGGTTCCCGCACAGTAGTTCTTACGAATGACGCCAATAAAGTAGGCAATGTGAGGTCGTGCAGACCTCAATCAATATATTGGATGCATGGTACAATTATACAAGGTAGGGTAGCTTTATGTGCAATAATGTCAGAATAAATGAAAATAAATGCAACAAGTCGTTCTGTTCATTTGACATATTTTTAACATTTTACTAAAAACGGGAAAATGAATGGAATGCCAGGTTTTCTTTTAAAAATCGAGTTGGGGATATGATTTACATATTGATTCATTCACAAATTATACATTTCTTATTACAAATGTTGAAAAATTCATATTCAAACAAGTCGTTTTAAAAATGTATTTTGATATATTTTTCAAAACATTACACACACATGGTCTGTTCCCGTACTGCAAGAATATACTATTTTTTACTCCGATAACACTTTTTTCCTTTATGATATCGAAAAAAAATAGTAAAATCGAGTAGATTCTTGCAATACGGGAACAGACCAACAGTCAAACATTTTGGATATGACTTTGGCATAACAACCACAGTACAAAAAATTGCAATTTAAAAGTTGATATGGCCTAAAAAATCCAATCGATCTCAAGTATGTCAAATATAATCCAATGGAATTGAACTAAAATATTCAGTGAATGGAGATTTAAGGCAATTTGAGAAATTGAGAGTGACGCTAGCAAGACACACAAGACATCCATAATTTAGGTAATGTAGTATGGGGAGAACAAGGGTTACATACACTGGTGGCCAATACTAAAGCAACTAAAATTGCAATGATAATGAAAGTCGTATAACTTTTTCAGTATTTAATCGTGTGCTTTATTTACTTAAAAATAACAAAAGCATAAATGCAAAATTCATTTTGAAATAAAAAAATAATGCACGAAAAATTGACTCGATTTTTGGTTGGACAAAACTAAAGCAACTCTTTTCATAAATCCGACGGGGCGTACAAAAATATTCAACTTCCCACTATGGCAAAATGTTGTGTACGGCCGTATTACCCAAATACGTCGAATCCATATCTTCAAGCAAATAATACAAACCGCAAAACAAAATTGAAAATTTATTAAATTAATCCGCATATTTTTAGTTTCCATTCGAAATTTCAAATTTCCTGAATGTTTTGTTTTTATTTTCAACAAAAGAAAAAAAAATGAAAAATACATTCTGTCAATGTTGAAATTGTTCAACTTGAAATTTTGTATGTTCGACATATTTCGGTAAGTCTGCTTTTCCACAGGCAGATTTTTATTTGGCAAATTTTTTGTTTTCTCTTTTGAAATTTCGCTTGCTTTTTCTTTAGCAAATTTTTCTTTGCCAAATTTGCGAATCAAAATACAAAAGAAAGAAAATAAAAGTCAAAATTGTTTGCATTTTAAAGATTTTTTTTAATATTTTATTTATTTTTTATATATTTTATTATATAAATTGCAAAAATTAAAAATTAAATTTCACTTGCACAAATTAAAGCAACAGGTTTGTAAACAAAAGCCGGCTGTGTGTCAGTAAAGCGAATAGGTTCAAAAGGAAATGTCAACAAAATTGTTTTCAACGAACAGAGCAAAGCATAATTTGCGTGTACGGCAAATTCTGAACAGGCAAATTTTTGTTTTTTTTTTCCTCGCACCCCTCTCGCCTACAAACTTAGTATTTGCCAAATAAAAATTTGCCTGTGAAAAAGCAGACTAACATTCATATAAATACATGTGTTCTACTTTTGTGGTGAAAAACGTCGAACGAGCTAGTTGAATTTTAGGTAAGGCTGTAATAGATGTTTCCAATTTTTTCATTAATTTTCTTTTGACAACATTCAGCTTTCAAAATGTATGTGAAAATATATTTCTTCGAAATGTACGCACAGCATGTGTTCAGTGACAAAAATTTGGTTATCATTTCTTTTTATTAATATTTTTAAGTTCCCTGCCTCTAAATTCTCAGAGAAGTAAAAACAGGAACATAAATTAGACGAGCTGTGGTAACCGGTCTACATACCCAGAAACAAGAAGCCATTTATTTCCTAAAAAGAATCGGTAAGCCATATTGGCTTTGCGAAAGTTAATAACAATTGGAATTTGACTCAGTGGAGAAATATTATAATACGTTTACATTTAACCGGATTTCGTTAACACAGTGGGTTTCAATTATCAATTCCTTTGCATATATGTCAAATAAATCCTCATGAAGTAGTTTAACCCGGTAAAAAGTTCTAACGTATATGCCGTTTTATGTTCCCGTATGAATTAAAGTTTACTATTTAAGACTCAGGCCTCCGTATAGCATTGGTACAAGGAAAGCAGCCCATTCCTTTATATGATGTTCGATCTATTTACGAGAGTTACGAAGTAATGGATCTGATTGTTTATACCAATATGTTGGAAATCGCAATGCCTCCCTTCGAGGAAGAAAATATACTGCATGTTTTGGCATTTCAGGTTGACAATAACCTCAAATATAAATCGCGACATGTCATTGGTTGGCTTTAGGTTTGACCATGCAAAAATTGCGTCAATTTAATTTTCCATTGAATATTTTTTATTTCAAAATAAATTTTGCGTTGATTTTTTTTTTACTTTTTTAAAAGGGAGTAAATTATATATTTTTTCAGGAAAAAAACTTTCATTATAAAAGTACATTTGCATATATGATCTTAAATTGACTCGATTAACGAAATCTAGAAATACACCCTAATTGTTTACACATACCTTTAATCATGATCTAAATGACGATAAGCTGATGTTTGTTAGTATGCATACAAAATTATTAATTTGCGCCAAAAATTTTTGCTTGCAATTTGAAAATGAAAATAAAGTTAACAACAGTGGAATGTTTTTGCAATGCTAATGGTGTTTTTACACGATATGTATTTTACATATGTGCTGTCACTTTTTTGCATATGGAAATCGAACTTGTCATGTGAAACATACGCAAATTTCAATGTGTCCAAACGATATGCAATTACATATGTATTTTTTCCGAATAGGACGCGCTCTATTTTCGCATGTGAAACATAAGGAAATCAGCTGTTTGAATGAAACACATTGTTGGAAGAAAATATTTCAGTTGCAAGTCAAAGAAAAGGATGAAAAGGCAACAATTACAAATTATTATTTCGTTTGTAGGTGTTTAATAAAAAAAGATGTTGATTTAAGAAAAAATAAAAGTGATTTTTTTGTTTATAGGTTATGTGATATGTGAAATACATATGCCGATTTGAACACAAAAATAAATGTTTTGTGTACGCCGCTAATTTTGACACACATAAGGAATTACATATGGATGAAATAAGTGACAGCACATATGTAAAATACATATCGTGTAAAAACACCATAACATCGTTTGGAAAGTAAAAAAAAACACCTAAAAACACAAAAATTCAGTAAATAATTTTTATTTTCGTTTGATCTTCCATTTTTGTATTTGGAAACCGCTAAATTTAAAAACAAACAACATGTGAAAACAGTTACAAATTTTGGTACATTGTGATAGAGTAGTATTTTCATGATTGCGATCAAGATTTAAAATAAAACCTGGCGCATGATGATTTAAATTTGTATGATAAATCATGGTAAATTCGGTCTGGTTAAGAAAATATACCCTGATTTAGCCTTTATCATGATGTTATAAGTAAATCCGCTTTTAGCCTTAAAACGGCATATACATTAGAACTTATTACCGGGTTAACCTACTTGAAGAGGATTTATTTGACATATATGCAAAGGAATTGACAATTGAACCCACTGGATTAACAAAATCTGGTTAAATGTAAACGTACTATAAGATCACGGATGGATAGCACGACGAGATATCAGGTTCGTTCCCGCACTTTTTGATAGTAAAGCTAGTAAAAGAGCGAACTATCAAAAATTAATCTCACATATAAGATTTGCGCAAAAAGTAAAGGAACGAAAAATAGTTAAAACATGAAGAAACGTCAAAATCAAAAATTTCATCAATTAAGGACAAAAAAAAACTACAGAAACCTAAAAGAAACAAGAAGTTAAACGGCAAAGAAACAAGAAGTTAAACGGCGTCCATTGTGTGATTTTGATAATATTAATATTTATTGTTTATTTTTTATATGTATAATTTAGATGAAAACATTATCGAATATTTGGAAATGGAGTTTCCGACGACTCCATGTCCGGAAAGCATTACATGGCTGGACGCTCCCAAAATGTTAATGTTTAGGCGCTCCACTCGGATCATTTTGAAATGATTACCGTAAGTAGCCCTCCTTGTGCTGACTACAGTGATATACATTTCATGTGGGGAAATACATACTTCCCGAGACATTGGCCTTGAAATTTCGGAGCATATTTTGTTTAAAACAACCTTTTCACATATGGACAAGCGCATACATGCCTACGCAATCCAAATTCTTTTTTAAAATTGTATATACATTATGATGATATATTCTTCATCTAGTTTTAAACCACAAACCATAACCTTTAAAATGATACTCATATTACCTTGCTGGAAAACGGCTGATTAAAACAACATACTCTCCGAACTTTAAAGGCCCATATCTCGGGAAGTATGTATTTCTCCCCATAAAATATATATCACTGTAATCAGTTCACCGAGGACTACTTACTGTAAAAATGTCAAAGCCCCTAAACTTGTCATAAGCCCATGATATTTTGGGCCAATGTACACACATTGGTTAGTACGATTAACCAATAGAACTTGATGATGCGCGTTCCCAAATCAAATGTCAAATTCGTTTTAACTCTTTTAAATTTAATTTCAAATTGTCCTACTTTTCGGCTAAGGGAACGCTTTTCTAGCAAAAATTGCAAAACTAGTACAATATAATACTATATTGCAGGTTTGGGAGCACAACTATCATTTTACAATTGGTAGTGGATGGCGCGACAATTAAGCTAGGTCGGGTGTTCTAGTTTTTGATTTTTATTGATTTGCTAATCTTCTTTAGATATAAGAAATTTCTAATTTCGTTTATGTCCATCAATCATCAGAAAAATATTCAGAAGAAGAGATCTCGCAGGCACTCTGCTGGGTCATCGTCGGACACCGAATCGGAACGAGAGGTGGTCGCGGTGGAGAAGAAAAAAACTGGTGCTCTAAATGAAAAATTCACAGAAATCATGGAAAAGGTAAAGAAGGATACGAATAGTGCATTGCGAGTGGAACACGATACGAAAACAAATAAATTTCTGATAACCAAGCCGAATTTGCCAACCGATCCATGTAGTCTGGTCGAAGAGATTACCAAGACAATACAGAATAAAGTATTGCCCACAATGGAAGTTGCTTCATCCGGTTCGGAGAGTGAAGTGTAAGTAAATTCCATCATCATTGGAAAATGTATTTTCTAATTAGCATAACGATTTGTTTTTCATATCAATCATTTAGTCCTGTGGAAGACGCCAGTCCAGTTGTAACCATTATTGAGGATGACCTCAATTTGGAGGATCTCATGAAACAAAAGGCATTACTACAAGCCCGTTTGGGAGCTTATATGTCCGACACAGAAGGTGATGACAGCCGTCCAAATTCTGTACCCAAAAAACCCGTTGTACACCTTGAGAGCCAGAAGAAAAATGAAACTTCACACGTAGTTCCTGCAGATCTTCCTGCAACTAGTAAAAACATAGACAAACTTTCTAATAATAACAAAACGAATGATGAAAATGATGTTATATTATTGGATGATTCTAGTGAAAGCCCAGACGGTAGGGGAGGAGGAGCAGGAGTGGATCGTCGTGTTAGCAAGAAAAGTCACTCGAAGGAACGTGAACGCAGTGGCAAGTCCAAACGAGATATTGTTGCGTCTTCTTCGTCTTCGTCACAGACAAGGGAACATAAAAGTTCTCGGGAACATCGAGACTCGACGAGAAGCAAACAACAGCAGTCACATAGTCATAGTCGAATTCGTAGCCGTAGTCGTTCACCAGGCCGAAGGGATAAAAGTGATAGATATTCCAGAGAGGAAAGAAGACGACCGGCGGATGTGGAAGAAGATCGCAGCAGGATTCGACACCGTGAACATTACGATCAAAATCGCCAAATGGAAGATTTAAGGCAGGAAATCAATCGCGACAAGCAACGTGAAAATGATACTGGTCGTGATAGGGAGAATAGGGGTCGTGATGATCGAATGCGTCAACATGATCGCGGCAATCATCGTGGTCGTGAAAGGGAACGTGACCGAGATCGTGATAGATGGATGCGTGAGCGTTCACATAGTCGCAGCAAAGCTGAATCTGATCGCAAACGAGAACGGGATAGAGATCGTCAACGTTCCAACAGAGATCGTAGTGAACGCAGCGATAAGGATCGATATAGGGGATCGTTGAGCGAGGGACAAAAGGCGCTACAAATTGATTCAAGCAGTGATGAAGATGTCAATTTGGACATTAATATCGACGAAGATGATGATGAAGAGAAAATCATTGAAATGAGACGTAAACAGAGAGAGGAATTATTGAAGGTAAGCTGAGAAAAGTGGAAAATTGAAATACCTAATTTTATTATTTTGTTTAATTTTTTTTCCAAAGAAATTGGGTGGCAAAGAGGAACAACCAAAACCAGAAAACAACATTAGCAACAATCATAATAAAACGGAAGTAGAACCAAAGGATGCTGTGGAAAAACGAGACGCATCACCACCATCTCCATTTGAACGTAAACGTTTACGTTCACGTACGCGCTCTCGATCACCTGTTACCTCAGAATCATCACGTCAACCTACCGATAATGCCGACGTCAATTCCGATACTGGAAATGCTCCACAGGATAATAACAATAAGGGTTCTAACAACACAACGACGACGGCGGCGACAAAGGAAAAACGTCCAGAATGGGATATGTTTGCCGATCAGGATGTTGATTCAAATTTCGATGTGAGTTGTTGGCTTGTAAAAATCAATTTCAATTTGTAGTTAATAGAACAATAGTAGTTTCAAAATTTTTAAAATTTGTCGTGAATGGGAAAAACTTTTCCGTTACAAAATTCAAATTCACGGAAAATATTGCCTCTGAATTATTTTCGACAGGATATTTTACAGATTTCAATGTGTGTTCAAATATTTATTTTTTGCATATTTTTTATAGTCTCCCAACACAATTGTTCAAAATAAAAATATGGTTGAAAATCCCGCATTGACCGACAATTGGGATGATGCCGAAGGTTATTATCGTGTACGTATTGGTGAAGTTTTAGATAATCGTTATGTGGTTAGCGGTTACACGGGCCAGGGTGTTTTCAGTAATGTCATTCGAGCCAGAGATCAGGCTAGAGGCAATGCCAATGTTGCCGTAAAGATTATAAGGAACAATGAAATTATGTAAGTTCGTTGTTCAACATAAACTATGTGTTGTAATATTTTAATAATTTTATTTCGTAGGCACAAGACAGGTTTACGTGAACTGGAAATTCTTAAGAAACTTAATGATGCCGATCCCGATGATAGATTCCATTGTTTGCGGCTGTTTCGCCACTTCTTTCACAAACAGGTAAATCTATTTGCCAACAAATATTAATCCTTTAAATTTATTATTTTATTAAATGTTATTTGTTTCTGTTCTAGCATCTTTGCATGGTTTTTGAACCGCTGGCTATGAATTTACGTGAAGTCCTCAAAAAATATGGCAAAAACGTTGGCCTACACATTAAGGCTGTACGCAGCTATACACAACAATTATTTTTGGCTTTGAAATTGTTAAAGAAAACCGGTATACTACATGCCGATATTAAACCCGACAATATTCTGGTAAATGAAAATAATTTAATTTTGAAATTGTGTGATTTTGGTTCGGCCTCCACAATAAACGACAATGAAATAACTCCCTATTTAATTTCACGATTTTATCGTGCACCCGAAATTATACTAGGCATACCGTATGATTATGGTATTGATATGTGGTCAGCTGGATGTACCATATATGAATTGTATACGGGAAAGATATTATTCAGTGGCAAGAGTAATAATCAAATGTTGAAATTTTTTATGGATTTAAAAGGTATGTTGAGTCGGTTTTTTACTGTGATATTTATGAAAACGTTTGTTGTTAAATGTGTTAAATATTTTGTTTTTGTTTTTCTTTTTTTGTAATTCCAATAGGCAAAATTCCTAATCGTATTATACGTAAGGGCCAATTTAAGGATCAACACTTTGATCAGAGCTGTAATTTCCTGTATCATGAAATCGATAAAGTTACAGAAAGGGTAAGTTTTGTTAATATTTGTTTTTATCATTTTAGTATATTGGTTAAATCATATTTCAAGTCATTGAAAATATACTATTAGAAAGGAAGGAGTAACCTTCTTTCTAATAAAAAGGAAGGAGTAACCTTCCTTTCTAATAAAAACTTAGGCTTGTTAAAGTTTTGTGGGGTTGTATTGACATCTAAATACATAAAATATAACGATATTGCGTGCATGTTTTAGAAATATTTTTCAAGAACCTAACAACAGGGGTGGGTTTTTTTAAACAAATATTTTTAATGACCTAACGGAAGGCGTGAATTTTTTAAAAATATTTTCAAGGTCCTAACGGAATGCGTGGATTTTTTAAAAATACTTTTAAGGTTTTATCAGAAGGGATGGATTTTTTTAAATATTTTTTAAAGACCTATCAGAAAGCGTGGATTTTTTTAAATATTTTTTAAGGACCTAGGTTAGGTTTGGGGATGTGCATTCACTTATGTGGCTGCGGCACTCTGAGACAGTTAGGTCCGTTGTGATCATCCACAAGAAGAAAAGAGATAAGGAGAGATCTATAGGGGAGAGAAGATTGTAGAAATAAAGAGAGATGAGAAGCTTACTGAAAGATATAAGAAGGTAAGTTTGGAATAATGTTGATGGCTATGGAGATCAGACATAAGATATATTACGTGTTAAGATTGCACTTTCCAAACCACTTTAGGTTTCTAAGTAGGCTGTAGATTAGAGGAGGTTCGATTGTTGAGAAGAAGCTAAGACTCGGTGGAAAATGAGCACTCACTGGTCTGTGCCACCTGTAAGCCAAGAATGGACAGTGACACAGAAGATGCTCAATTGTCTCCGACTCCGCCTCGTCAACGCAGAGTCTACAGTAATCAATTGCATCAAGATCCCATTTACTAGTAAAGGCCCTGATATTGGAGTGACCAGTGATGATTCCTGTCATTACTCTTATTTCAGCTTTGCTCAGGCCCAGCAGTGAATGCGTTCTTTTGGTAGACAGAGTCGGCCAAATGGATCTTGACACGTTGCACCTAGGTTCGTTGTGCCAAAGTTTATAGGCTCTTTCGTCGAAAAATGCCTCAAAGTTCCGGTAAAAATGATATATGGGTTGTTTGGTTGAGTCATCAGTTGCTAGATCTGTGGATTGAGATCCTCGTCTAGCTAGTTCGTCCGCCCAAGATGTCACAATGTCCTGGTACCAAACACAACCGATAACTGTACACACTTGAGGACGGCCTCAGATTTGATATAACAGGATTTGATGGCTTTAAGAGCCGCTTGACTGTATAGAAGGCCAGACCGTCCAGAGGAGGGTTACTTCGGTTCCATTCGTCTATACTAGGAATAACGACATCTGCATCGTCAAATCTAAGGACTGGTGATATATGGTCGCTTGGTCCAATGTCATACCTGGTTCGTTCAAGATACGACCATGCCCAAAGGTACAACTTCTCCAGAGGTTTTGTTCATGCAGCCTTAGGGCGCTATGCTCGGCCTGACACTTAATGCTGAGGCCCAGAGGCTTAAAATTCAGCATTGCGTTCAGAGCTGCTTGTGGCGTACTCCTCCTGGCTCCTGGCTCCTGTAACTAAAATCGAGGCGGCTCCTTATACCTTATCTAATTTACTGGACGCCGAACTTACGATTCCTAGTGAACATTATCAGTTCCGTATTTGTTGGATTTACACCAAGGCCCTTCGCCCTGGCCCAACGCGACAGCGTCAGTAAGGCTCTTTGCATATGCTCCGAGATTGTTGATGGAAATTTTCCGGAAATCAATATCACCACGTCATCCGCATAAGCTAAAACTTTGATACCTTTCCCCTCCAGTTCCATCAGTATATTATTAAATACCAATAGACATAGCAACGGCAAGAGCACCCCTCCCTGAGGTATGCCTCTAGTTACCGTTTTCCTGATTTTTGTAAGTAACCTTTACCTTGTTCCATAGATCCGGAACATACGAGAGAGTCAAACACGCCGTATAGATACTCTCAAGGATCAGATATATATTTGGCGAGGCAAATTGAAGCATCGCCGATTTATATGGTTTGAATGTATTGACTGTCCATCGTATCTTATTTATGTTAACCACCTTGCCAATGAGATCAAAATCTAGTGTCACAGAGTCACAAGAGGCTGAGTGTCATCACGTTCACCATCGGTGGTACCCATATCTTTGCAATCTGGGAAATGAGTTTCAGCTAGGAGATTAAGAGTCTCAGAACCAGAGCCCGTCCACGCTTCATCCTGCTTCTTGATACTTCCGATGGACTTCGGATCCTTGGATAGTAGCCTTCGAAACCTAGCAGCGTCGTTGACTCCTATCGACTCACAAAATTTTTTTCCAAGACTTTTTCTTTACCCCTTTTGATCTCACTCTTGTATTTGTTGAAACTAGCTCTATGGGAGTTCCAATCAATATCGAGTTTAGATTTATGCACCCTGTTGTACAGTCGTCTGGTCGCTTTTCTGAGCTCACCATGTTCCTTGTTCCACCACACTGGCTTAGATTTTTTCCCAGGATATGTAAGCGGACAGGATCCCTTATGGCATCTGAGAAGAACGTCCGTTAGATTGTCCACGGCCCAATTAAGTTCCAAAGCTGTTCCTAAGTTTGTATTATGCGTCAGCAGGGTGTTCATTAGTTCCGTGAATTTCTCCCAGTTTGTTCTCCTTGGATTCCTATAAGGCTGTTGTTTACCTCCGTCAAAAGAGACCTCGAAGAAAATCTTTAAATGATCCGAAAAGGAATATAAATCAGAACATTTAGGATCTATCAGAAGGCGTGGATTTTTAAAAAAATATATATTTTTTAAGGACTCCTTCTATCGACTCACAAAATTTTTTTCCAAGACTTTTTCTTTACCCCTTTTGATCTCACTCTTGTATTTGTTGAAACTAGCTCTATGGGAGTTCCAATCAATATCGAGTTTAGATTTATGCACCCTGTTGTACAGTCGTCTGGTCGCTTTTCTGAGCTCACCATGTTCCCTGTTCCACCACACTGGCTTAGATTTTTTCCCAGGATATGTAAGCGGACAGGATCCCTTATGGCATCTGAGAAGAACGTTCGTTAGATTGTCCACGGCCTCATTAAGTTCCACAGCTGTTCCTAAGTTTGTATTATGCGTCAGCAGGGAGTTCGTTAGCTCCGTGAATTTCTCCCAGTTTCTTCTCCTTGGATTCCTATAAGTCTGTTGTTTACCTCCGTCAAAAGAGACCTCGAAGAAAATCTTTAAATGATCCGAAAAGGAATATAAATCAGAACATTTAGGATCTATCAGAAGGCGTGGATTTTTAAAAAAATATATATTTTTTAAGGACCTATCAGAAGGCGTGGATTTTTTTTAATTTTTTATAAAAACGTATCAAAAGGCGTGGATTTTTTAAATATTTTTTAAGGACCTGGCATACATATATATTTTCATTTTAATTTTGCATATTACCATCTAAAAATATTTCCACTCAATCTAAATCCATTTTTTCTATTTATTTATCTTTCTTTTCAAATAAAATATAGGAAAAAATTGTTGTTATGCCAGTTATCAAGGCGACACGTAACCTGCAACAAGAATTGATTGCCGATCAAAATTTGCCCGATGATCAACATCGTAAGGTTACACAACTAAGGGATTTATTGGATAATATATTTGCTTTGGATCCCTCGAAACGCATTTCATTAAATCAGGCCCTTGTACATCCATTCATACAAGAAAAGATGTAAATACAAGCTTTGGCATGATGCGTAGCCACCGTCAATCAACGGATGATCGATCAATAGAGCTATAAATAAAAATGCGGATGAAGGAAAAACACACACACAACTATTGTTTTGCTGCTAAAATGTCCTAGCAATGCTAAATGTAAATTTTTTATCTAAACACTATTATTTTCACATAAAAACAACAACAACAAAAGATCGAAAAACAACAGCAAACAATAATCGTACAGTTTAATTACAAAAAAAAAAATAAGTGGTAGTTATAAAAAGCATTTAAATCGAAATTGGGTTTGTGGTTGTATAAAAATGAAACCCACATGTGGTGGGAGAGCAGTCATTTTTATACATAATCAAACAAACTCACACACACACACACAGATTATTTGTAAAAGTGCATAAATTAAAAAAAAAAACTAACATTCGATTTGGAAATGTTAAAAAAAATTATATATATTACTATAACAACAACACACTCTACAAAAAACAAAAAACGTATAGGCATGCCCGATTTTAAGCTATTTTTAGTGTAAAAGATTTCTTTGCAAACACTCGTACATACAATTGTAGCGTGTTTTATATTAATTATAATAAGCAATGTTTAAATCTAAAATTTTAGTAAAGATATAATACCAATTGTCTGTGACCAAAACCTAAAACAAATGAAGCATGTATTATTTTTTATTTACTTCAAAAAACAAAACAAAAAAGAAGAGAATTTTCGTTTCATTTTTTTTCCTTGGCTGGTTTTATTAACTTTTTTACCTTTTCAGAAATCCAAATCCAATGCTAAGAGACAATGCAGCTCTCTCGCAACATCACCACACAAAACAACCAAGAGTTCCATCTTTCCAAAAAAAAAGCTGTGGCAAACGAACACCTCAAAAACACAAACTGTTTTCGAAAGTAACGCCTAGAACATGTGAAAGAGTGCAACTCTGGTAATAATTTGGGCAAAAATGCATTGAATTTACTTCATAATAATAATACAGATTCCAATTGATGAAAAAAATACATACAAGAATTTTTTTAATCGGCCAACGACCAAATCTCTTGTAACGACCAAAATCTCACATTTATGGTCCGATTAAAAAAATCCTTGTATTTATTTTTTTTGTCTTGAATACTTCTACTATTTATTTCTATATATAGAAAACAATCACTAAAGTATTGTCTCTTTTTTCAAATTTTCAGAATATATTTGCTGTTTGTGTGTATGTGCCGAAAACACGCACACGCAGATGTGAATTTGTTTTGTATAAGTATTTGTTAAATATGGTTTTTGATGAAAAAAGTCGTAAGTCGTTAATGTTTAATCCTAACTTGACGATTTGTTATAATTCATTCTTTTATTTCTTTTCTTCTCTTTTCTTTTTTTTATCAGATACATGATAGCCATTAACACAACTCTGGAATTTGAGAAAACAATGGAAGGAAAAAAAGGTTTGATTAATTTGAATGAATGTTAAAAATTTTGGTATTGAAAATTATAGCAATGATATAAAAAAAGAATATTAATATATTGACAGTTATACGGATCCATTATAACTTAATTCTGCCTTCATGTAATCCTAGTTTTTAGCCATAGTGTCTTCGACAATACTACTGAAATCAATGCCAGAAATTACGACACTTTGAATGGTAATAAATATTCTCCAAAACTAATACAAACTCTGTCAATTTTGTTCCGATAGATTTGGTTTTATCTGGTGTATTGTCATAACTTTGTTTAGAAGTTATGACAATACAATATGACCATACGATCAATGTAACTATTGGACTTCAATATCCCAGTCGAGTTTCTTTCCAGATAAGTGGAATATCGACGCCTCCGAACCATAGTGTGCTAAGTCGACTTAGCATGTTTTAAAGTTCTTTACGTTTTTAGATACTACGGTTTTTATTTAAATTCTCTGAAAATTTGATAATCATCGGCCAATCCAAACCAAAGTTAAAAGCAACAAGTGAAAAAGCGTTAAGTTCGGCCGGGCCGAACTTTGGATACCCTCCACCATAGTTATACTAACAGATACATGCAATGAAAATATAGGGAACATACCAAAGAGTGGGGATATACCGATAATTCTACAAACCGATTTATATACACCAAATACAAACTTCAGCAATTTTTAATGGGGATTTTTCCTAAAATCTGTAAGATCCAAAAAGTGGACTGATAATAATAACGCATGGTAGAGTATAAAATCCTCAAACTACTGTAATTTAGATTATAAAATTATATGAGGGTATGCCTAAAAGGGGACCAATATTGACCAATGACCGGTATATGCCAATTTTGAACCCAATATTTTAATCGTTTATCTCAATTCTTTCCTTCAGGAGGTATCACTATATTGAGGAGATGCCTAAATGTCTGCCGATATATTTCATTATCGTCGTGTTTGATTTTTTTTATCACAATATCTTTAGAAGGCGGAATGCTTAAATAGTCTTTGTAGGGTAAAAATTAACTATTCCCCTCAACGACTACCTAACCGCAACACACGGAACAAATCAGATAACTATTTTAATATAAACAAGTAAAAAAGCGTTAAGTTCGTCCGGGCCGAACTTTGGATACCCTCCACCATAGAAATAGTGACAAATTTTTGAAATGAAAACATAGGGAACATACATATAACTACAATTCTTCCAATCGATTGTTGTAAACCAAATAGAAAATTCAGCAATTTCAATGGGGGTTTTCCTAAAATCTCAAAACCCTAAAATGTTGACATATATTATTGACGCATGGTACCGAGAAACATGTGTATAAAATGCTGTAAATACTCCAATTTAGAGGGCAATATTATATATGAGGCATACTAAAGCGGGACCAATATTGACAACATTGTGTAGGAATTAGCAACTACTTGGTGTTTTCATTATATAATTAAGGAGATGTAGCTGAATTCCAAGCTAATATTTTAGTTTTAAATCCCAATACCGTCCATCACGCTAAAAATTAAATAGGTAGGATGTTTTATATAGGACCTGTAGGCATATTCTGTAACTTTTAACAACATTCGACATTATGAAGCTGCAAGGTTTTGAAAAAAAAAACTCCTAAGAAAAATAATTTACAAAGTTCCCAGATCTTAAGTGAAAGATACTGATCTACCCTAAAAACGCAGAAGAACTTAAAGTGTGCCAATTAGTGGCCCTAATTGTACGTTTTTCCCTAACCAAAAATTAGAGGTCGTAAACAAATCTTAGTTGTGTGTGGACCAATGTCTATTGATAAGGAAAATGTAAATTGATAAGCTTTAACACCAAAATATGCTTTTAATTCGCCAAACCTGTTAGTCGGTCGACATTGGTTATAGCAGTAGTAAACAAGTGAAAAAAAGCATTAAGTTCGGCCGGGCCGATTTCTATAAACCGATTATGTAAACAATAATTTTTAATAGAAAATTATACCCTCAGCCTTATGGCTAATTAGTGTGTATACACTTTCACACGGTGAAAATGTGCCTCATCGAAATATTGGTTCTAGACCCCATGTTTCTTTGGACCAAATCCGTTTCAGAAAAATTTGATTTCATCCCATCTTATTATGTCATCCAAACTTAGTTCAAGTCCGAATTTGGGGAATATCTGGTAACTCCCACATGCCTTAATGCGGGCTATAGTTCACATACAGTTCATTATCGAACCGTACGTTCTAGTTTTTTTTTATCTCGATATCCTTCGCAGGTGAAATGATTACAACAGAGTGTTAGAACCAAACCCAAAACGCGGAAAAATCAGATAATTATATCAATATAAAAAATGGGGTTATATGGGGACTACGCCTAAAAACGGGGTTGACTATTAATAATTGTTGGTCTTAAAATTTCACAAGAATATATACACTTTATAGGGTCGGAAATAAATATTTCGGTGAGTTACAAACGGAATGACAAAATTAATATACCCTCCATACGCGGAAAAATCAGATAATTATATTAATATAAAAAATGGGGTTATATGGGGACTACGCCTAAAATGAGTTGAGTATTAATATTTCTTGGTAGGGAGATTTGTTTCCATGTACAGCTTTATATGGGGGCTACCAGAAAAAATGGACTTATATTTTTAATTTTTGTGGAGATATTTGATACCCAATAAGAACCCAATATACCAAATTTCAGCGAATTCAGCTAATTCGGCTGAAAAACGCGCTCAAGAACCCCAAAATACCGAAATTTGGGGGCACCTTTATATGGGAGCTACCAGAAAAAATGAACTTATATTTAAAATTTTTAGTGGAGATATTTGGTACCCAATAAGTACTAAATTACAGCCAATTCGATAAAAAAAAATGCGACCAAAACCCCCAAAATACTGAAATTTAGGAGGAACCGTTATATGGGGCTACCAGAACATTTAGTACCCAATAAGAACCCAAAGTACCAAATTTCAGCGAATTCGGTTGAAAAACGCGCTCAAGAACCCCAAAATACCGAAAATTGGGGGGTACCCTTATATGGGAGCTATGCCTAAACGTGGACCGATATATCCCATTTCGAACTTGACCTGCCTGCAGGCAAAAGACAAACCTATGCAAAATTTCAGCACCCTATCTCAATTCCTTCAGAAGATAGCGTGATTACAACAGACGGACAGACGGACATGGCTAGATCGTCTTAGAATTTTACCCTGATCAAGAATATATATACTTTATAGGGTCGGAAATTAATATTTCGATGAGTTACAAACGGAATGACAAAATTAATATACCCTCCATACTATGGTGGAGGGTATAAAAAAGACAAAAACCTGTATTATAGAACAAAACTGTAAAGTCGGGGTAAACTTTTTTCAACGACCGCAAAAGTCAAACTGTTGCCAACTGGAAACGTGTTATCGCAATGTGAAGTATGGTTGAGGAGTTGTCATGGTATGGGCTGGCTTAAGTTGTGTTAAGCCTTAGACCGATGTAGAAAAATTGACAATAATATAATGAAAGAAGTTTATTGAAAGCATTGTAGATTCATATCGACCAGTTTTTGTAGAACTAAAAAGTAATTATGAGCAGGACAGTGATCCAAGACACATGTCCAAAATCGTGACAGAATATATTGGTGAGCAAAATTTTCAATTAACGCAGTGGTCAGCACAAAGTCCCGACCTCAATTCGAAGTATGGCAAATTGCATAAATGACACCTTTACATACACAAAACTTCGATATAAGGTGTACAAATATTCGTATTCTGCATTTTTTTATACGTGCTAAAGAGAGTGCAATGAAGTTGATTTTGTTTTCTTAGTTTTACTTTTTGACGTAAAAAGTGTTCAAAATACAAACATCCACTCGCTTCTGCACGCCACTATACAAATGTATGTAAAATGATTTATAGCCAACTTGATACATGTTATTAGGTATGCCGCACTGTTCAAAATTTAATCTCAATCAGACACCCATTCGAAATATATAATATATGGAAGCTATGTCTGCATTTTCATTAATTAAAAAAAATGTTCGTGCCAATCGGACAAACATTAGAAGTTCACCATTTGCCTAAAATCGGACGAAAATATATATGAGGGAGCTACATCTAACTCTGAACCAATTTCTCAGCACACATGATTGTAGACTTAATTCAGTACGCTATGCCAAATTTCATGAACCGATTTTCACGAAACTTAACACATATCATTCTAGACTTAATTCAGTACCCTATGCCAATTTGGAACTTTGGTGCACCATTTACATTAAATCGGACGAAAATATATATGGGAGCTATATATAAATCTGAAACTATTTTTCCCAATTTCAATAGGCTCGTCCTTGGGCCAAATAAATAAGCTGTGCCAAATTTCGTCTAATTCGGATCATAAATGCGATCTGTACTTTGTTTACAATTTAATATGGACAGACAGACGGACGGACATGCATATGCCTGCCTGTCTGTTGAAATCACGATTGGATCTCTATATGGAAGATAGAGCTTTGAAATTACACCTAGGATTTTTGGTATTTTGGTACGTTCTTCAACCAAATTCTCGGTAATTTGTACTTTCGGTTGTTATTGGGTAACACATGTCTTTACCAGAATAGCCGCCATATGACGGTTCCCCCAAATTTTGACATTTTGGTTTATCACAAGAATGGGCTATGATTTAGTATTTTCATCAACATTGGTCCAATTTTTAGGATAGTCTCCACATAACGGTATCTACCAATTTTCGGTATTTTGGGGAGTTTGAACATATTATTCATCCGAATTGGATCTAATTTGGTGTTATTAATTCTCATTGATGTCAAATCTCACCACCAACAATTCTCAATATGGGTTCACTTTACGTAACCCCACAGATTCGATATTTTGGGGGATTATAAACATGCTTATAATCTGTCATTTGGTACTTTTGGTTCTCATTGGGAAATACAACTTCTTGATTAAAAATTATCAATATTGGTCCACTTTTTACGATAGTCCCAATATAACAGTACACGCCAAATTTAAATATTTTAGGACTTATCATTTTGTACCACATATTTCTGCCCAGAATAACAACAACCGCATGAAATTGATTGACTTCACGGCAGCAAAAAACATGGTATTTAGCAGCACCAGATTCAAGTATCTCGATATACACATGGCCACCTGGATTTCTCCTGATCAAGCAATGCGAAATCAAATTGATCATGTTAAGATAGACGGAAAGCATTCAACCACTGTTTTAGACTTTCGATCGATACGAGAAGCGAATATCGATTCGGACCATTACCTTTTGGCAGCCAAGGTTCGCACCCGTCTTAATGTAGTAGCAAAGGTGCGATCTAATGTAACACGGAAACTCGAGTTCGAAAAGCTGCAAACATAACAGATAGCAAACATAACAGATAGACTCAGGCCAACTGTGGAACTTAAAAACTACAGCTTCGACGTAGTCAACGATTTTATATACCTTAGTACCGCCATAAATTAAACTAATGACATCAGTTTTGAAATTCGGAGAATAGATTTGGCCATCAGATGCTACTATGGTCTGAGTAAGCAACTCAAAAGCAAGGCCACCTCTCGCCAGACGAAACTCACACTCTACAAGACGCTGACTCTGGGGTCTGTTGAGTTCATACAACGAAGCTCATCACACTATTTTTCCCGATGCTTCTGTTGGAAAATTAGGTCTTAATTCGGATATTCCATCCGCACTTATCTCTACGCGTGGTGATTACCACAAGTTCGTCCTCATCCGTAAACCGTACAAAACATTTAACTATCAATATGCCCTCATTGTTTAGGACGAAATGCTATAGTTAAGCTCTATAGGTTTATTAGCTTAAAAAATGGGTAGTTCTCCTTAACAAGGGTTAACCGCAGGCGAGGAATGTTTTTCCTAATACCTCTCGTTAAATCTGAACATTCCAAGATCGGTGCGAATCTAATTCTCCTGCGATTCATAAACTCCACTATTTTGTTGTATTTTCATCAAAGTAAACGTAGAGAAAGGGGGGGCATTATTCGGATTTGTGCCGCACAGACTGTAGTTGCAGAGTGTGAGTAATGTAATCCGATAGAAAATACGCCCTGAGGTCTACACTGGTGCTGCATCAAGCACTGAATCCCCTACCGCTATAATCCTGTATCCGGTTTAAGCTGGAACAATTCCGGATTTAACCGGATATTTGTTGGTCCTATGGAGGTATTTCATTTGCTTCATATAATTCGGAAAATTATATGATGCAACTATTGCCAGTGTGGCTTACAATCCGAGTCTGACTGCGAACGAGGCAAAGACTGTCACCTTAGCCCTTTGTGAAAGCAGACAGCTTCAAGAACAGAATTATTATACCCCCTGCACCAATCAAAATTCCATACATTTCGATTTCACATTAAATTTATTCTTGTTATTTTATAAATAATTTTAAAATTTTGATCGATTTTATCCTTAACTATTCCGCTATTTTCTCCAACTATAAATTCCTATTATTTAAATAATATTGAAATTTTGAAAGTTTTGGAGGAAAACGGTTCTGACAATAAAAAAATTCCCAGCTTTGTCAGGTATTTCACATGTTATCGCAAGCAACAATCATTGGCGGAGCTCTGGGCGAATGCCGCACCCCAAACGAATAGTTGGGTTGCGATTTCCCCGGTTTATAATTCATACAATCATAGGCATTTGCTCCAGGTCCAAATAGCTTGGCATTAAGGAATGTTCGTGGAGCCAGCGAATATTCTGGTGCTTTGGGTAAATAAGTTTTGGGGGCACTTGGACTATAGTTTGCTGGTCCGGGTGACAGACTTTTGCTCTTCAAGCCCGTGCGCATGCCACTGAAAAAAGTAAAAATAGAGAAATTAAAAAAAAAAAATAGAATTCAGTGAGTGTAATACTGAGACTCACATGCTAAATGCCGGTGCCGCTGGCCTAACCATATTGACGCTAATACCATAGGCATTGGGTCCAGGGCATATGTTCTTATTTGTCAATATCGTTCGACGACCAATCGAATACGATGGTGGACTAGTCGAGCTAACGAAGCGGGACTTGTTCAAATCGTAGTTCGCTGGGCCAGGCCCAATATTTTTGGAATCTATAAAAATCGTGACTTCTGAAACCGATTTTTTAAAGTTTTTCTTAATACGAACCTTTCATAAATGTCCTTGGTCCAATGCTGTAGGCATATGCTCTTGCCGGTCCATAACGTGTCAGACCCGAAACATTCAAACCAGGGCCCGGTACAATATTTTTATTAGTCAATTTTGTCCTACCACCAAAGGAGTATTGCGGCATACGTATCTTACGTTGATCATGATTGTCATAGCCTATCGTTGGTGGCAGAGAATAAACCGGACCCGGACCTACATATATAAAGAGGATAAATGTAAATTTTTAAAATATTTAGCATATTGTTTTAGCGGATTTCAAAAATTTATCTTACCTGTAGATGCCATTATATTTTTAGGGATTTATTGCATAACCTCTTTTTTGGTTTGCAAAAAAAAAAAAAAGAATAGAAATAGTTATGGAAAAAATCTGCTTATACCAAAAGATTACAATTAAATATTGAAAAATATTTTCTAAATTAGTTATGACATTGTTGTCAATGGTTTTATGATTAAAAAATATTTTTTTTCTACTTGAGCGCAACCCAAAAACGCAAGCCACCCTCTAGACAAGAGAGACTGTCGTGTATGTCCGTTCATGATGTGGGATCTTTCAAGGTTGAAACTGCTGGCTATGCGTTGACTTGAGCCGACAAGCCGATGCTTCTAAGGCAAACGAATACTAAGAGGGAAGAGGTCATGAGTTGGCGTTCCAAAGATACTTTGGAATCCTCGCTCACGGCTCCATCGTATCGCAGGACAATATGCTATGGCCAATGATATGTTTATAAGGATCCCAACTTTATCAACAAGAAGGAATTCCGGATCAACAAGAAGGAATTCCGGATCAATAAGTACCTTATGGTCGTGAGGTCGTACGAGAGAGATAGACTACCTTCATAAGGATACCTAGCTCGTGTAAGGTGGTTACTTGTATCGGGGCCTCTACCAAGTGGATGGTACGTACAAACGCTTTTGAGATCAGAAGTTGTGTCAGCGGCAACATGGTCGACACTAGCTGAAGTTACACCGACTAAGGTGAAGTCCTTCTCTACGCCTATAACAATGAAAAGGATGAGTTCGGAGAATAATATCTGGAATGACATGTGCCAAACTAATTAGCGAGAGAGCAGGAATTCTCTTGGATCAATAAGATCATGTGAAAGACAAAAGAAACTACCAAATCCAATAGAGAACATCCGGTCGATCAGATACCTACCTTGTATATAGTGGCTTACTTACTTAGATGGTTTGTGACAGAACATTTGTTCCATAAGCCGAGTTTAAAAATGATTTCGAGGTGCGTCGGTCTTGCGCGCATCTCTTTCAATTTGAAAGACCATTTTGATCTTTCCATCTAATTCGTGGCCTTCATCTTCTACGTGAGGCATCAGTAGACTCGCTTTTATATACCTTTTAAGCTGAGGCATTCTCATCCATTCTCACAACATGGCCTAGCCAACATAGTCGCTGCAGCTGGATACGTCTGACAATGCCGATGTCCGAGAATAGATGGTACAACTCATGGTTCATTCGACGGCGATATTCACCTTACAGAGAATTTTTCTCTCAAAAACACCACCTCATCTTCTTGTGCAAGTACCCATGCTTCAGATCCATATAACAGCACGGGTAGTATCAGCGTCTTGTAGAGTGGGAGTTTGGTCTGGCGGGAGGTGGCCTTGTTTCTAAACTGCGTACTTAGACCATAGTAGCATCTTCAACATTACCTTCTCCGAATTTCAAAACTGATGTCATTACTTTTATTTGTGGCGGTACCAACGAATATAAAATCTTTGACTACCTCGAAGCTGTAATTATCTAGTTCCATAATTGGTCCGAGTCTACTGGACGTCTTGCGCGATGATACCATCAGCTTGGTCTTCTCGCCATTTACTGCCAGACCCACATTGGCAGACTACTAAATTTTTCAAAGGTGGGTGTTACCGCTTGCAATGTTCAACCCATTATGTCGATGTCATCGGCGTAGGCGAGTAACATGAGTTGTTTTGGTGTACAGCGTGCCATTTCTGTTCACCTTTGCCTCTCGTATGACCTTTTCCAGCAGGATATTAAAAAGGCCACACGACAAACTGTCACCTTGTTTGAATCCTCGTTCGGTATTAAAGGGCTCCGAGAGATCATTTCCGAATTTAACTGCTGACCTTTTGTCAGTTTAAGTTATCCTGCATAGCCGTATTAATTTTACAGGAATGCAGACATGACTTTTGCGATGGGAAGGAGACTTATTCCTCTATAGTTGGCACATAACGTCTTGTCTCCTTTTTGTGCACTGGATACAGGATGCTGAGGTTCCAATCATGGGGCACGCATTCCTCTAGCCAAATTGTACTAATCAGTTGGTGTATGCTCCTGACCAACATCTGAGCACCGGTCTTGAATAGTTCCTGCTGCTTTATTTTTCTTCAACCGATTGATTGCTATTCTGACAACATCTTTTCTAGGTGGTGTACACTCCATATCGTCATGTCTTATTGGTTCTGGGTATCTTCTTCACCGCCACTATTTGATACCAGAAGCTTTTCAAAATGCTCCTTTTAGATCCTCAACACGCTATCTGTATCTGTCACCAGGATTCCATCTTCATCTCTACAGGATGATGTGCCTGCACCAAAGTCGTCGGTTTGGTATTTTACTGGTTGGTAAAATTTCCGGATTTCATTCTGACTCCTGTACATCTCGATTTGCTCACGCTCACATTTTCCTTGTACGTTTCGCCTCTCTCCTTTTATCCCGATAATTCTCTCTAGAATTACGTGTTGCTACTGTCTGCAGGGTTTCCCAATACGCTGCGTTTGTCACATCAGTAGCATTACGACACTCCTAGTCGTACCATGGGTTTCTTGATGGTGGTTTTTGGTATCCAATTGTTAATTTTGCTGCAGTTTGTAGGGAGTGGGCAATTCTTTGTCATTGTGCTTCTATATTATTATCGGGACAGGGAGTGCTTTCGTCAAGCAGGTGGGTAAATTGAGCGGAGTAGGCTTCTGCTATCTGTTGTGTTTGCAGTTTTTCGACGTCGAGTTTCCGTGTTACATTATATCATACTTTTACTGTTACATTAAGACGGGTGCGTACCTTGGCTGCCCTCCGTCTATCACAACATGATCGATTTGATTTCTCGTTGTTCGATCGGGAGAAATCCAAGTGCCCTTGTGTATATCGAGATGCTTGAATCTGGTGCTTCTAACTACCATGTTTTTTGCTGCTGCGAATTCAATCAACCTCATGTCGTTGTCGGATGTTTCTACCGACGGTGTGGCCAGAAATTTTCTTTCCGACTTTTGCGTTAAAATCTCCTAGCAGAATTTTAATGTCATGGCCAGGACAGCGCTCATATGCTGTTTCTAGGCGCTCGTACAATGTTTTTTTGTCTTCCTTCGGAGCATGGGCGCAAATTAGACTGATGTAGAAGAACTGATTATAGCAATTCGCACATCTACTGGAGTGAATATTTAGAAGAGACCTTTTATAGTACGTTTACCTTGTACCGGAGTAAATTTTTCCAGTAAGATTTTTCAATACTCAGTAAACTAAAATTCAAAATAGCTCTCTCAATTCACTCTCTTCGTCGATTTTCTATTATCTGTCGTAACTGGATGAATATTTCAATAGGAAATATTTGTTCTGTTCCCCTACTACATTTTTTTTTTAAATATTTTCTTCGATATCATAGAGGGAAAATTGTTATCGTTGTAAGAAGTTGTGTATTCTTGCAAGAATGTACTATTTTTTACTACGATAACACTTTTTTCCTGTATGATATTGGAAAATAGTAAATACTCGTAGATTCTTGCAGTATAGGAACAGACCAATTATTTTTTATAAAGTATTTTAAATATTATTGGATTTAACAATTACTGAACGTTTTTTTCTTTAGCACCAGATCAGATGTTAAAAGGACTACAACGAAATATAAGTGAACAAAGGCTGGCAAACAAATGTTATCTTCAAAATTTGCAACATAAAGAGAAGTTTTATTTAATATCCATAAATATATAACAGAATTTATATATAATTTTTTATTTCAGGTTTGTTAGTTTATCACTTCATATGCGAAGGATGGAAGATAATCTCTACCACAAGTTATCTATGTAATTAGATATGTCTTGCAAGTGCTGGTCGACTCAGATGATTTTGCACTTATGAATTGTGCTTATAGTTAGTCAAGGATTTTTTCTGAATATCGTGGAGTCAACAGTTATATTTTTCTTATATATATACCAAGGTTTGTATTTTTTGAACAACATTACAGACCTTGCTACTCTTAATCTGTAATTGAACATTAAGAAAATTTAATAAAATCTTATTTTTTTATTTATTTTTCTAAAAATGTGTGGCTGTTTTATTTCTTAAATATATATGTAGATAATGTAACAGATACATTCACAATAATCCTAGGATCAAAGTCTTACAGTTGATATCGAGTTTGTCTCGAAAGCAGGGACCGAAAATAACAGTTATTTTTTAAAATGCGAACAAAAAAATCTTCATGTTAGAGACATGGGACACCAATAGTGTCATATACCAATAGATTCGTATTGAGGAGCCCATTAAGGATATTGAGTGATCTTGAGAAAACACTCTCAGTTCCCATGTTAAGGATTATTTTTTAACGGAAAAAATAAACGTTGATTTTTAACTGTTAAAAATGATTTTTATTTTTTCCGTCAAAAATAAAAGTCTTTTTGGGATTTTTATTTTTTCCGTCAAAAATAAAAGTCTTTTTGTGAACTTTTATTTTTTCCGTCAAAAATAACAGTCTTTTTGGGACTTTTATTTTTTCCGTCAAAAATAAAAGTCTTTTTGGGATTTTTATTTTTCCGTCAGAAAATAAAAGTCTTTTTGGGATTTTTATTTTTCCGTCAGGAAATAAAACTCTTTTTATGTAAAGAAGTTTATACAACTTGTAGTCAGTTATAAAATTACAATTTATAAATCTCTGTCCTTATTACAATAACTGTACACATAAGTAATCAAGCTCAAAGGTAAAAAATATTTGTTATAAATTTTTAAAAAATAGTCTAGTGTACCAAATCATGAATATAAATTAAAGAATCATTACCCTGACTATTAGGTCAAAAGTTATATAACTGGTACCAAACTTTATATGTTTATTTACGTAAAAAGACTTTTATTTCCTGGTGGAAAAAATAAAAATCCCAAAAAGACTTTTATTTTCTGAAGGAAAAAATAAAAATCCCAAAAAGACTTTTATTTTTGACGGAAAAAATAAAAGTCCCAAAAAGACTTTTATTTTCTGACGGAAAAAATAAAAATCCCAAAAAGACTTCTATTTTTGACTGAAAAAATAAAAATCATTTTTA